GAAGCATGATAATTAGGTACTTTCAGAAGACCAATATAAGGATCGACGAAAGCAAGAACACAGTAAAAACTTGAAAAGAATTCAGGAAAACACTACAAGAACAAACAGACAAGATAAATGCAAAATTTGAAACAATACAAAACCTGCAATTAGAAATCTAGAAGATTAAACTACGATCTCAGAAACAGACAGTACATTAAAAGAGCAAAGAAGTAGATGCGAAGCAATGGAATCCTGAATTAGTGAACTTAAATATAAATCTCTCAATACTATTATGCTAGAAAAACAATCAGAAAAAAGAATGAAAAAAAATCTGAAAAGTCTTAAGAATTATGTGGGACACCATGAAGAAGAGTAACTTACAAGTGATTGAATTCCAAAACAGGAAGGGACAATAAAAATCACAGAAAAAATTGTCAAAAGAGTTGTGTGAAGAAAACTTCTCTAACATCATGAAAGACAAAAAGATACTGAAGTAGCTAAATGAACTCCAAACAAGATAGACACCAAAAGAAAATAATTAAGGCATATCATAATCAAACTCTCTAAAACGGAAGACAAGGAAAAAACCTGAGAGCAGCTTGGGAAAAACAAGAAGCTCCCTACAAAGAACTAATAAGACTAACTCTGATTTCTCAGCAGAAACCATGCAGGCAAGAAAGCAATGCGATGACATGTACAAAACTCTGAAAGAAAGAAAAAACCAGCCAACCAAGAATCATACACCCAGCAAAGTTGTCCCTCAAATTCAATGGCAAAATTGGGACATTTCCTGATAAACAGAAATTAAAGGATTTGTAATAACGAGACCAACTTTACAAAAAATGTTAAAAGGTGTTCTTAGAATTGAGAAACAACAACAGCAGACAATAACCTGAGATGACATGACAACACCATCCAGAACTCAATCCAGATATGTTGTTGTTGTTGGGTGCCACTGAATCGGTTTCAAGTTGTGGCAGCCCCATAAAGGGTTTCCAAGGCTTTAAATCTTCGAGGGAGCAAAAAGCCTCATTTTTCTCCTGTGGAGTGACTAGCAAGCTAGAACTGCAGGGCACTGTGGGGTTGTTGTATCTGTATTTAGCTGAGGATTGTATGTTGGTCTGGAGCAGACCTTTTGGTTCATGTTCCAGTGCTTATCATATAGAAGTATTAGAAGTTTAAAAGTCTATAAGACTGAAAACAGGGAACCAGAAAATTCAATTTATAATGATATCCACTACAAAGCACAAAAAGGAAATAGTGTAAATATAGAACTTCCAAAAAGCACAGAAGTCAAGTAGATTTCAAGATAAAACAGATGGTTTTAAATAGGGAAAAATATTAATAAATTGCAGGGTAACCTCAAAGAAAATGAATATAGCTGTACATCAAAATAAAAAAAAGAGGAAAATCATTAGTAAGCATTAATACAACAGAACTGAAAATGCAAAGAAAATCCACAAACAAAATGAACTTAATGCAGAAAATTATGTGGAATAAAGAACCCAGCAGCATCACAAAAAACACACCAAAAAATTACAACAATTAGTTTATACCTAAAGGACTTCTGGTAGCGTAGTGGTTACAAATCGGGCTGCGAACCTTAAGGTCAGCGGTTCGAAACTACCAGCCGCTCCGTGGGAGAAAGATGAGGCTTTCTACTCCTGTAAAGATTTACACCCTCGGAAACTCTGTACAGGGTCGCTATGGGTCGGAACTGACTCGACGGAACTTAACAACACAACAACATTGATAATTACACTGACTACAAATTACACTGACTACAAATAGATTAAGGAGCTCTGGTAGTGTAGTGGTTACGAATTGGGCTGAGACCTGCAAGGTCAGCAGTTCGAAACTACCAGCCGCTGCCCGGGAGAAAGATGAGGCGATCTGCTCCCGTAAAGATTTACAGCCTCGGAAACCCTGTTCAGGGTCGCTATGGGTAGAAACCGACTCAACGGCACTTAACAACAACAACAACAACAAATGGATTAAATGTGCTAGTCAAAAGGCATGAAGAGCAGAATGGCTAAGTAAATAGGATCCTTCAATATGCCGTCTACAAGAGACATATCAAAAAGATGGAGACAACCTAAATGCCAATCAACAGAAGAATGGTTAAACAAACTTTGGTACACATACATAATGGAATACTACAAAACGTTAAAGGATAATGATGAATCTATGAAACACCTCACAAAACGGTTGAACCTAGAGGACATTATGCTGAGTGAAATTAGTCAATCACAAAAGGACACGCATTGTATAAGACCAATGCTATAAAAAGTTAGAAAAGGTTTTCATTTTTTTGAAACACCCAGAAGAGGCAAATTGACCAAAGTTTATTAGTGGTTACCTGGGGCTGGGAAAAGAGAGAAATGGGGAAGTATTGCTTAAGGGATATTGCATTTCATTAAGGGTGATGAGAAAGTGCAAAAACAGTGGTCATGGTTGTACAATATAGGGAATATAAATAAGGTGACTCAGTTGTGTATGTTTAAAAAGCAATTCCTAGAAGAAAGAAAAGGAAAAAAAAGAGTAATCTGATGCAATTTGATGAATTTAACCTACACCTATGGATGCAGTAGCTCAAAAGAGGGAACAAATCTTTACAGCGAGGATCATTCCCTCCGTGCTCCCCCATACACAGAGTAGACAGGGATGGGCAACTTCGACATTGGCTAACCAAAATGGTGGGGCTACAAAGGCAAGAAGTGACTGGCTTACAAACTTTCAAGAGGGAGCCTAGATCCAGAGGGCGGAGAGGAAGGTATAATCTCCATTGAATAGTATCCTATCTGTCTAGGCAGGGCTGATGAAAGGAAATGCAGATAGGTCTCTTGTGATACAATAGTGAACAATTGTTATCAGGACTGATTGTGAGGGTTGGAAATGTAAAGGTAGACGTTTTGTAACAACAGGAGGGGAGTGATTAACTTTGCAGTCTAGGAGCGGAGGTCCCTGGGATCATCAAGGGAGAAGAGCGGAGAGCGGAATCCTACCCAGAGAAGCAGTGATGCCTGAGATGGAGGCAGAGACGATGACATGGAGAGATGGAGCAGCTGGGGACGTTAGATCCAGTGAGGGAGAGGGGCTGTGTGCTGACAACCGGGGGGGCAGGCTTGTAGTATATACCCTTTGGTTGGTTGATGATGTATGGAGGGGATTGTAACCATCGTAATAAACAATATACGATGGGATGAATGTAAAATTAATGTTCTCCCATGTAAACTATCACATAATTCACAATAAAACATTAAAAAAAAAATTAGTCTGCTATATTTGGTGAAACATTTAATTAACTCACCCCTAATGTGATGGCTAAGGAACTCTGATAGCGTAGTGGTTAGGAATTGGGCTGCGAACCTTAAGGTCAGCAGTTCGAAACTACCAGCCGCTCTGCAGGAGAAAGATGGGGCTTTCTGCTTCCGTAAAGATTTATAGCCTCAGAAACCCCGTACAGGGTCGTTATGGGTCGGAACCAACTCAAAGGCACTTAACAGCAACAACGTAATGGCTGGAGTCCTGTTGTGGTGCTGAGTTAATGCGCCAGACTGCAAAGCTGTTTGAACTACAAGGTCGGTAGTTCAAGCTCACCAGTCACTCTTTGGAAACCCTATACAGGGTTGCTGTGGGTCGGAAGCAACTCAATGGCACTTAACAGCAACAATAACAATGTGATGACTAGGAGTTCTGGTGTGGCGCTGTGGATTAATGCACCACACTGTAAAGCTGTTTGAACTGCAAGGTCGGCAGTTCAAGCTCATCAGCTGCTCCTTGGAAACCCTATGCAGGGTCGCTATGAGTCGGAATCGACTCGACGGCACTTAACAACAATGTGATGGCTGGAACTGTGGTTACCTTGGTAGGGTCAGACCAAATGATTTCGTGGGCCTTATACAGCCCGCAGGCCGGACATGCCCCACCCGATATCGACCATCAAACTCCGAAGTGAGGAAGCCCAGTGCTGCTCTCCAGGCAAACCTCCTTACCAGTATCTAAGCAAACGTGAGAGGGGGGAAGATGACCCCTCTAGAGACTTAAAGATCTATGAGGATTTGAGATAATGATTTTGGGTGAACTGATACATGGAAAACAAAAACCAGATTTGGCTAAAACAAAGAATAACTAAGAATTAGTGAAAACACTAACTTCATTGAAGTATGATATACAAGAAAAGAGCCCAGGCAGAGAGATGCTTAAATTCTGGTTCTACTTATACTAAGGAGTCCTGGTGTGGTATAGTGGGTTAATGCACTGGACTGCAAAGTCAGTTTGAACCACAAGGTTGGCAGTTCAAGCTTACCAGCTGCTCCTCAGAAACCCTATACAAGCTTGCTATGGATCCAATGGCACTTAACAACAACTTATACTAACAACATTACCTTGGAAAAGCTATTTGGCTTATGAGGCTCAACTTTCTTATCTTTCCAATGGGATCAGTATCCTACCTTACAGACCAGTTGGTATTAAAGACAAGAAATAATGTATTTTAAAAGCTCATAATAGAGTACCAAGGCACTTGATAAATAATACCATTTCAATAATTATTCTTGATGACTGAATTTATAAATGTATCTTTTTCAACAGAGTATCTCTATCAAGCTTAAGGTTTAATATAGGAATTCTTAAAATACTTATGGTGGTCATGTGCCACCAAGTTGGTTCCGACTCATAGCAACTCTGTATAGGGTTTCCAAGGCTGCAAATCTTTTTGGAACAGAAAGTCTTATTTTCTTCCACAGATCAACTAGTACATTTTAACTAGTGACATTGCTGCTAGCAGCCCAAGCTCATAACCCACATTACCAGGGCTCCTTAAAATAGTAATAGTAATGAAAAAATTAAATGGAAAAGTATGCAATTTTCTTTTCCAAAGTTAAGTATATCTATAGAAAATGTTGTGTAATATTAATAGGAAATTAATAACTTCAAATCAATATCTAACAAAGAAAATAGCAAGCATTGCAATAGCTTTTGTTTCTAAATACCCTTCTTTAGATACATTTTCCTACCTGGAGTTGAGCTTCACTTTTGGGATCCAGTGGTCTCTTGTAAATTAAATGTAGATATCCAGAGTCACAATTTCTTTCATTTTGTTCTCTGGCTTCTTCAACACCAGCAAAGCCCTCAAGTAAAGTTGTTTTCAGGGCACTTATATCAGCATGAAGAGACTGGAAAAGGATAAGAAGATACTTACAAAAAACTGTCTAAGAAATAAAACCTTTCTATCCAGACCAAAGAATGTGGTGTTTATCAAATATTTAACATAATAAACAAATTTATACTTAATAATCAGATAAAGAAGAAAATCGGTGTTTGGAAAGACACTAGTTTTGTTTCTTCCTCATTAAAAAAACAACAACAACTATTCTAATGATAGAAAACACAGATAATAAGAACCGAGAGTACTCACAATAAACCTACTAATGCTTGGAGAACTTTCCTCTTTTTCAAATGTTATTTAAAGCCAGAGTTCTGGAGTCAGACAGCCTACACTAGAATCCTGGCACATTGCCACTTGCTAAATGGCAGATTTAGGGCAAATTATTTTACCTCTTTTAGCTTTTGTTTCCTCACTTGCAAACCAGAGACAGTAATACTACCCATCAAATGAGGAAGTTATAGGGATTTAATGAGATAACACAGGTAAAGAGTTTGTTAGATGCCGTCAAGTGGATTCTGACTCACAGCAACCCAAAGCACAACAGAACAGAACATCGCTTGGTCCTGTGTCATCTTCACAATTGTGGTTACAATTGAGCCCACTGTGTCAATCTATCTTGTTGGGAGTCTTCGTCTTTTTCACTGACCTTTTTACTTTACCACGCATTTTATATTTTTGAATATTACAAATGTTAAGTCAAAACTCCAAGAAAGTGTACTCAGAAAAGTCTCCCCCCACCCCCTCCTTCTGCTCTGTTCCAATCCTGCTAATTAGGGTAGTGGTGGTTGTGTGCCTTCCAGTTGGTGCTGACTCAGGAGCCCCTGCATAGGATTTTCGAGGCTGTAAATCTTTCTGGGAGCAGAAAGCTTCATCTTTCTCCCATGGAGCGACCGGCAGATTCTTTAGCAGCTGAACTTGTAACTACTACATCACCAGGGCTCCTTCCCCACCATAGATAATTATTTTAGTTTCTAGTTTATCCTTCTTTGGTTTTTTTGCAGAAATAAGGAAATAAAACACACACATATATCTCTAAAACAGAATAGCTAGCTTAACTTGCCCAAAGTCACATAATTTAATAAGTGCTGAAGGCAGAAATCGAACTCAGGCATTCCTAAGCAAATTACTCATCCATATGTAAACAACACTGGTGGTCCCTGAAGAGATAACTGTTCATGAAGTACTGCTGTTGTGTGATAAAGTACCGTCAAGTTGGTTCTGATTCATAGCGACCCTTGAATAGGGTTTCCAAAATGCAGCTGCTAGGAACGGCTATGGTATATTTTAGGCAGAGATTAAATGTGGCTATGGTGGAGTCAGGGAGTGGACTAATGAAAATGAGGATGGAGACAGAGGGCAAGCAGAGCCAGGTCGTGCAAGGCCACAATAAGGAGTTTCTAAGTCCTGCTGTGGGATTGACTGTACGATAAGCATTGATCTGTTAGCCACAAGGTTGGTGGTTCAAATCCACCAGCTGCTCCTCAGGAACTCTCTAACAGAGTCGCTATGAGTCTGAACCAACTCCATGGCTCTCAATAACAACAATAATGTTGGAAAACTGACAGTTTTAAGTTTTAATGACTATTTGATGCTCTTGTGGTTAGCAGTCTAGGGCTTATCTTACACACCACAGCAGAAGATAACACTTTTTATTAATGCAATTCAACTTACAAAAAACGCCAACAATTACAAACCTCTGTGGTCTCTTTAATCTCCAAAAGAAAGGTGTGCAAGTCATCTGATTCTGTTCGCAGCATCTTCATCTCCTCAGCAGTACCCACTTGGAAACAGGCTTTGGAAGTTCGGGCTTTCAGCTCTTCCAATTCCTTTTGAAAGTGGGTAATCTGCGGAATCCACAAATGAAGAAACAACTTAGTGGAAATGTAACTGGTAACTGATGGTACTTACTCCTGGGACAAACTAAGCTTCAATGCTGGAATAAGGTGGTCATTAGGAGTCTGCACTCAGAACTATGGTCAGAGCTATTTCTGAAAAACAACTATAGAGAGCAGAACTTACCTCCTCTCCAATTCCAATCATCACTGGATCTGATTCTTTCCACTGATGTCCCTGCTTTTCTGAAACCAGAGGCTGAAGTGATTTCGCCTAAAATGGAAGGCAGAAGGTTGTAAAGTGTATTCTATACTCCAAGCCTGGCTTCTTGCAGCAATCAGATCAGTGCCTATCTGAGCTGATAACACCCTCATAATACAGTCACGGTTCCACCAGTCATTCTTCTGAACATATTTTTATTAGGTAGCCAACTTTGTAATGGCACATTCAAGTGGTGATAAGTGGTGAACAAAGATAAGGCCCCACTCTCACGAAATGTATCTTCTACTGAGGCAAGATAGAAAATACAAAGTAAACTAGTCAGATAATTTTAGTAGTTGATTGTTGTTGTTGTTAAATGCCATCAAGCCAGTGATGAGAGGTATGGGGAAGAAAATCAACAGAAAACCATGAAAACTTATAAGAGGACACTATTTCAATAAAGATGGCCAACAAACTTCCCATTCAGGCAACATCTAAACTGAGACCTGATGGAATAAGGGACAAAGCTATTAAAAGATCTGGGAGAAGCAACTTCCAGGCTATTAAAATAATCTGAGGTAGGAACGGCTATGGTATATTTTAGGCAGAGATTAAATGTGGCTATGGTGGAGTCAGGGAGTGGACTAATGAAAATGAGGATGCAGGCAGAGGGCAAGCCGAGCCAGGTCGTGCAAGGCCACAATAAGGAGTTTAGACATATTCTAAGTCCTGCTGTGGGATTGACTGCACAATAAGCATTGATCTGTTAGCCACAAGGTTGGTGGTTCAAATCCACCAGCTGCTCCTCAGGAACTCTCTAACAGAGTCGCTATGAGTCTGAACCAA